AGACACCCTAAAGCTTTGTGTTAGAAAAATAAAATTCAGGGGTTTGTTTGAAACACCCCACAAAGTCCAGGGGTTTACATGAAATTAACCCGAATTAGCTACTTCAGTAGTTACAAGTGAACGTATGAGACAATACCCCAGGCGAAAATTCTAGAAGCAGATGCACCGCCTTATTCGGTTTTAAAGTCTCAGAATGCACGCTAGATTTCCATCTATGCATTACATCTCTATTTATACTTTAGCACGTGTTACATCTCTATTTATAGTTTTATACATCAGTATCTATTACATCTATGGAGAGGATCCTGTGAATCCCATGGCCATAGGATCTTGAACTGTTCGCATTGAGTCATAATGCACCTCGTAAAGCTGTTGGGCCATACTTTTTGGGAGTCCATTCAACTTCTCAAGGCACAGAAAAAGGAACTGGGATCCTCTCCTCATCCTAATATTTCCTAATGAAGAATTGTGAAGAGTTAGGAGGGCGACTCATAAGGATGGATGAGAAAATAAAAGGCGATGATAAAAATAAAAGGGTATGATCTCCTTATTAAGAGATATTTAGGAGCTTTTCATTAGGAGAGGATCCGGATCCCAGAAAAAGAGGCAGAACTACCTAGTAGATAGTTTTGTCGTAGCGCTCACTGTTGAGTGCATCATGTTAATTGGAGTCATTGTGCAGTTGGCGTTAGAGAAATTTATGATTTTTTATTACAATCCTATGATAGAAATAAATTAATACTGATGGAACTTATCAGCTAAAGCGTTTTGTTTATGCTTCGGTGAGAAGGGAGTGAAAGTAAATAATCATACTCCTTTTAAAAGCACGAGTTCAGGAAAAACTTTAATGGTCAATATTACCCTTCACTATTTTGGATATTTCATTTAAATCTTAATCTTTTTAAATTTTAATCATATCTTATCTATTTCCACGTAAACTATCTATAGCTCAACAATTAAAAAAAGTTATTTTAAATATTTTATTTAAATCTTAATCTATCCAAATGTGAATTATATCTTATATTAACTCCATATTAACTACCTATAACTAAAAAAATTAGAAAAAATAAGATAAAGAAATTATACGTGGATAACATATTATAATGCATGAAGTATTACATAAAAACCCAAAAGTTTCAAAAATTACATTTAATATCCTTAAAAGTTTAAAATTACACAAAACACCTTGACTTTTTAAAACTTATAAACAAACAAGAAATCTAATAATTTAAAATTTTTAATTAACACCCTCAATATTTTAGAAATTACAGCAATAACTCAAAAGTTTAAATTATAAAAAACACCCTAAAATTCAGAGATTTCAAAACTTAACAACAACATAGATGGATTCCAAGAATTACCATTAAGCACTTAAAATTTTAAAATTTGTAAAAAATAACCTTAAAGTTATAAAAATTACAAAAACTCTCCCAAAAGTAAAAAAATTACAAAAAATCCTGAAATTTTAAAACTTATAACCTGTACACATCAAATTTAGAAATTATCAGTAGATCATTGAAATTTTAAATTTTTTAAAAACAACCCAAATTTTTAGTAATTGTAAAAATACCTTCAAATTTTCACAGTTACAAGAAATATTCTAACATTGGAAAACTTACCACCAATACATAAAATATGAATTATAAGCACCCAATTTATAAGTAAAAGTTTTCATAAAATACTACTTACCACCAATACATAAAATATGAATTATAAGCACCCAATTTATAAGTAAAAGTTTTCATAAAATACTACCAAAGTTTAAAAATTACAAAACACACTATAAGCACCCAATTTATAAGTAAAAGTTTTCATAAAATACTACCAAAGTTTAAAAATTACAAAACACACTCTCAAAAGTTTAAAATCACTAAAAAGGCTGAAATTTTGGCAAAGAAAAGAGGAAATGTTTTATTATAACATTAAGTTATATAAATTTAACTTTCAATTTAAAATTTATCATCTCTTTTTAACATCTAAAAATAGTCTAAGTCGATGCCGGTAAAAAATAGCAATTACCATAAATTAAAACTATCTAATTTAGGAATAAGAATTTAAAAATATATGATAATTAAAAATTAACATTACTGTATAAATTCAAGGAACTGCATATAATTTTAATAATAACATCCATTGATAGAAGAAAAAATAATAAAATACTATAATATAATAGGTTAGTATTAACTTATTGTAATGTATAAACATTTATATCTAATGTTGATAATATTTATAGGGTAAAAAATACAATGAGATATGTATGGAGAAACTATCAGAAAGTTCAGAGATATCATTTAAAAGAACTATGTTGTTTCCATTTCAAATGGAGAAGTGAAGGAAATAAACTCAAAATTCGAAAACATTCATGAATCACCTGAATTGACATTGATAAAAGGCAAATCTAACAAAGAAGCACTGACCGAGTTCCCCTTGAAGAACATATTAAACAATTTTGTCCTAATTAAAAAAGCATTCTTCATGAAAGATACAACAAAAATTAGTAAGTATTTAAAAAATTTCATACTTTATTCTTAAAATACTAAAGGAATCATAAACTTAATATAAAATTATATATAAATAATCTTGTAGTAGAAACTAAAGTGAAGCCATTGATCAACTATATTGTGAGTATAATAAGCTAGATAAGATGAGGAAAATCACTATAATTGACAAAAAATATGCACATGATACTTAGTTACCATAGCGTAAGTAAAAAATAGTTAAAATTGATATTTTTCTTTTTTCTATATAGTGTCACGACTCTACAAGTAACCTTATTTGGGGATATAACTACCAACGAATGATCAATTTTTAGGGACACGATCAAAGATAAGCATGTAATAGTACTGTCAGGTTTCAAGATCTTTAAATATGAAGGTAACATATTTTACAATTAAAAATCTTATTAAAGGCCACTAAACATAAAATACAACACAAATTTAATTTATTGAATATTTTATAGAATAGCTTAATTTTTTGAGAAAAAATCACGAATCTTTAGAAGGGATTTTCATGAACTCTTTTAATGTTTTTATATGGTTATGTGGATGCATTTATCATATAAAAGTGTACTCGAGTTAGTATTAATCTTTATTTTATGATTTTTTCTAAAGTCTATCAATGATTAGCAACAAAATTTATATTTTTTTAGTTTTATTGTAGCCCACTTTTAATTAATCATCTTGGATTATTGGCTTTAATTATTCATCTTTCTTTTATAACACTATTTCTTCAAGTGTTTTTTACTTTTACAACATTATACCTTCTCAAGTCAAGCTTGGTTTCATGTCGATCCAAATAACGTGTAAATTCAAATTAGCTTTAGATTATATTTATTTCTTATCAATTCAATTATTAACGTAAAAATTTTAAATTTGGTGTAGCCCATCCAAACAAACATTAAAGAAAATAAATAATCACAGCTTAAAGACATAAGTGAGCAAAAACAAGCAAAGTGAAACTAAGAAACAAAATTTAGTAAGCAAATAAATCAAAAATACTTAATCATAGTATTTAATCACGTGCATTACACGTGCATAAAACCTAGTAGAAAGGAAACGTACGGAAGGAAAGAGAAAAGATAAAATATTATTTAGGAGTTTAGTAAGAGGAACATAATTAAACTTAATTGATACTGTTTCTGAGTTCTAATAAAAAGGAGGGAACCAAAGTGAATACATATAAAGAAACATAAATAACTTTACATGGTATTAATACATTATGTCAACTAATAATTTTTAAGGGTAAAATTGTCTTTCCATCTTGTAAAATTTTACACCTAATTTTTTTACTCCCACTACCGTCCAATTCCAATTTGCCAGGGAGGGAAATTTCACATTCTCTTCTATCCTTTAACCCCTAAAAAAACGCTCTCAAAGGCTTTATAAAATTTCACGTTCCCTTTCATCACCTTACCCTCATCCAAACACATTGCTAGAGGAAATGGCCTAAAGTCCAACAATCTCATTTACTCCATACTTATTTTTTTGTTATTTTACAGTAAACCACCAATAACTTTCAAAATCGCATTAAAACCCCAATTGCTTTTTGTTTTGCAGAAAACCCCAATAATTTTATGTTTTTTGTAGATGACTCCCTTAAATTAGAATAAAAAACATAATTAAAAGGAAATTTGAAAGTTAGTTGGGGGGTTTAGTGTAACTTACCTAAAAGAAATTTGTGGATTCTACAAAAGTTATTGGGGGTTTGGTAAAAATCGCTGAATGTTCTTGGGGTTATAATGTCATTTACCATAAGTTTTTTTGATAATCCAGTCCAGAATCAAATCCAAGACAATGAGAGTCTTGTTGAAACTTCACAACCATCTGAATCATTTGCGACGGGTTAATTTACCCTAAGTTTAATTAATGTGTTTTTCCAATATCAGTCCCCTAAATCTTTCATACTTCGAAATTAATCTCCAAAATATCCAAAATCTTCATATTTTGAACTACCTCCCACAATCTTTAAGTGTTTTGAAATTAGTCCCTCTTATCTTCAGATTTTGAAATTATTCCACCAAATCTTTTTAAGTGTTTTGAAATTATTTCATCTAGTTATCACCGTGTTGAGATACTTAGGGCTAGTTTAGGGATTTCCGTAACCTGTTACTTTACCGACACGCAACCATTATCACAACTGTCATTAACGATGACGAGATCTGATTAAGAAACTCCTCCGTATTTATTTATGGTAATTAAGCGCTTAAACCCTGCGCTACTCTCTCTCTCTCTCTCTCTCTTCAGCGCGCGGTCTCTCTCTCTCTCTCTCTCTCTCTCTCTCTCACAATCTCAATCTCGTAAGCAACATTACATCGATTTCGATTCTGCGATCTCAATTTCTCTAGCAATGGCGTCGTCTGGTGTTTTCCCTTTCGAGAACCCCATCCTCAACGAGCTTGTGGAGGCCCTCGTCGATATCAAAAGCAAAACCCTAGTCGACGGCGGGAATGTCACGACGTCGGGCCCAGTTCCGCTGCCTCTGCCGGCGGTGGCGTTCCCGAGGAGGAAAAGATCGAGACAGATCACTATGAAGGGCGTCCTCGAGGCCTACGAGAAAGAAAATGAAGAAGACGATCCAATGTGGGTCCCTACTTCGAAGGTCAAGAAGAGGAAGTCGACGACGATTAGGGTTTCTGATAATGGATCCAGCAAGAAGATGAATCCGATCAAATATTCAATTGAACCACCAAAGGTTTGATCTTTTTCCTATATATTCTTTCTTTCTTAATTCTTTAATTTGATGCACCGCTTACTTTACTGTTTTCTTGATTCCAAACATTGTTTTTCTAGAAAATGCGAGGTTCGTTTCTGCCGAAAATGATAACTTTTAGGGCAAAAAATGCCTCTTTTGGAAAGATCTCATATTTTCTCTAAACCAATACGTTGTAGACGCATAAAGTATCTTTAATTCTCAGTTTATGTTACTGTTTTGTAAGTTTCTATGGTTCTTTTTCAATATGATGGGTCTTCTATTACAAGCTACTTTTGTTGTCAATCTGAGTATTTGACTATAATGTTGACTCTGATAAAAAAAATGAATAACTAAGTTTCTTTTAGGCTATGAAATTATGTAACATAATCAGAATGTTATGGATGAAAGATTACCTTTTTCTAGAAAATTTTAGGCTTATTGGATTAATTTCTCCGTTTATTTCTTCCGAAGGATTATTTTTTGGGGAAATTACATCCTTTTGGAAAAAAAAATCCCATATTTTGTCTTAAAATAAACCAATACATACCAGATAAGTAAACTACATCTAATTCTCAGCCTTCACTATCGTTGTAATTTTCTAGTTTCTTTTACTACAAGTCTACAAGATTTGTTATTTCTTTGAATTTACAAGGTGCTTTTGGTTCCTGTTGTCTTTAATTAAAAATGAATAACTAAATTTAGACTATGCATTTACTGAACCTAATCTATCTTGCAGTACCTTATGGAGGCGATTTCAGCTACAAAGTTTAAACTCGTAAAGCTGCAATGTTCAGAAGCAGAAAGAGAAAGTGGAAGACATTCAGCATGTCGAGGAAAGCAACAGCAACATGAAGAAAGCAAAGGACACTTACTTACAAATTGCAACTTTTCCCTTTGCACTAAATTTTTGTTATCTATATTTACTAAACTACTAACACTTACTTACAAATTTAATGATGAAGGGAGACACTAAATTTTTGTTATCTATATTTACTAAACTACTAACACTTACTTACAAATTGCAACTTTTCCCTTTGCACTAAATTTTTGTTATCTATATTTACTAAACTACTAACAGTTACTTACAAATTGCACCTTTTCCCTTTGCAGTTAATGTCAATCTCACAACTAGAAGCTACGAACTGCTGTTTCAGCCAGCTTGAAGTAGGCCAGACTTCTCCCTTGCACAACAAGCTCCCTTCAAACCAAAGTAAAGAAAGTATTAATTTTTGATCTATAGTGCACATACTTTTGGTACCTCGGAAATTAATGATATAAGTGTACATCCTACTATATTCAAAAATTTAATAGAATTCAATAAAAATATTGTTGGCGTACATCAAAGATTTTATATATATATATTTTAGTTAACATTTTGTGAATTTGAAAAATACTTCTGGAATACCTTAGCATCTTTTTTCTTTATATATAAAATTCTGTTAGGTGGAACTCCGAAAAAAAAAATCTATCTTGCTGTGAGAATTACAGAACTCAACTGTTTTCAATTATTTATTCATAGTTCATGATCATGCTTTGTAGGTTAGTTTCCTTCTTTCCAAAGTATAATGACACCAAATATTAACTACAATAACTTAGGAGCCGTTAAAAACTTAATAAATAATCCAAAAGTAAATACTTAACTAACTCAGGTTTTAACAAAGCAAAGGAAAAAATACTCTCAAGTCTCTATGATAAATTACATTGAATAGAAAATTTTATATTGAAATATCATATGTTATATTGAATATAGCGCACACTTTATTGTAATCGTGTATCTTTGACATATTGAATTATTTCAAAATGTTGTGTAACATGTGAGGTTTGCAACATTATGTAATGTGCAATAACAAGTTATGTAGCACGTTTTTTTCTCAATAGTGGTTAACATCATGCTTGAAGAGTGAAGAAGCTGCCCACTAAAACTATTTGGCAAGAATGCTAGTTTTTGAAGTTCTGTATGTTATCATTTGACGCTTATTTCATTATTTCCTATGCTATTGAGCGAGAAATCTGTTTTCAGTTTGCAAATTCATCTACTTCATGGGAGTGTATCTTATTTAATATATGTTGCAAATTGGATCACCATGTATGCATCCTTATATACCAGTGTTTTAGGAAAGAAAGTGAAATTGAGTGGCTTAGGCCATTGCTTAAAAGTAGAAAAAGCAAAGGTTAAAAAAAAGAAAAAAAGGGGAAAGAATGACAAGAAGAAAAAAAGAAGGGAAAATTGAACAAGAAATCTGAAAACAAATTGAAGAATAAATTAAGTAAAAATAGCTTATAGTGAGAAAGAAAATGAAAAAAAAGAAATTGATAAGAAAGAAAAATGAAAGGGAGCAAAGAATAGATTAAGAAGAAAGAATCGCGAAAGAAAGAAAGGGAAAACAAATACGTGAAAGAAGAAAGAAAAAAAGACAAAGAAGGAAAGGTGGAAGAAGAAAATATTAAGCATAAAAAAAGAAGACCTCAAGGAGGCTCCTTTTTCTTTCTCCACTTGCCGAAATGTAATGCTGCCGATTAATCTCAAATTGCTAAAGAAACTTTTACCCTCTAGGGAAAAATACACATAGCTAGTATTATTAGGTATCCTCATCTTTTTGTGCATATTCTACCTCTATAGATAAATAGTGATGTGGACTAAGAAGTAAGAAATGGCAAAGGAATTATCTTCACTTGCATAATTCATGAACCTAACAAGCCAAGAATCTAGAAGTGCTTAAGTGGCCACTTTTTAAAACTCTATTTCCAACTAACCTTAGTTATCAGTTATCACTTAATGTGAGATTTCACTCCCTTTCTCTCTCATACACACAACATTCTCAATTTCAGAAATAAAAAAGCGATATTAATTGTCTCATTGATTAGCTGGCATGTGACATAAATAGTGGTGATGTGTCAACAGGCATTCGATACTGAGCCTTAAGAACTCATTTATACTTCTCGAAAAAAAAAGAACTCATTTATATTGTCTATGTAATATGTACACAGGTAACTTTTTTAAGTGTGTAAACAATAAGTTTATGAATTACTAGTATTAATTTTGAATAATAAATGACCATGTTTCAGGTTGCTTTTTCTGACATTTGTCTGGCAAGAACTCCTGGATGATATCAGTCAGTGCACTAAACATGGGGGACTGGTTATAGGTTCCTTAAAAAAGCCATGCTTGCGCAGATTAGGAGTCCTTGAAGATTCTGGTTGTTTTGTTAAAAGGTAAAGTTAAGGTAAGCAATTGGATGGTTATATCACATTCAATGCCTGTTGAATTCATGAATCTGATAGATTTGTAATATCCCAGATTAAGTTTTAATAGGATTCATAGTAATAGGAACATTAGATCAGTTATTGTTTGGAGCCAGCAAAGGAGGGTTAGGTAGCTGTATATAATTTTTATAATTTTAATTTAATATTTACAGGTTTTAAGTAACTTGTATGCTACATGAATTATTTACTAAACAAGAGTTACGAGATGGGTCCTGGTTCATATAAGGTCCTTATAAGCACACCTATATCCTATCAGTTTTTAGGCAGGGACCCAGTACATACTCATTCATAAGTGAGTCTGGTCTAGGTCCTGGTTGGATCTGGATTGAGTCCAACTGCAAGTCAGGTGTTGATATTCAGCCTAGTTGAGTCTAAAGACAATGAACCAAATTATAGTTATTGCCTATCTGAATGCTGATTAGCATTCTGCTAATGTGTTGGACATAATAATTGTCCCTATATTTTGGGGAAATGACATGCTGGAGTTGTGGTAACCAATTGGATTGTGCAGGCTAACCCCCTGATTGGCAGGAAATAACATGTTACAAGATTTTTTAGTAATAATCTCGAAGAACACATGATGTCCATGTTTCAGGTTTTAGAGAGCTTAGTAAATTTTGCCTGTCAAAAGCTCCTCTAGACATCAGTCAACACACCTGCACAGGAAGGATTGTCTATGGGTTTGTCCATGGGCGGATGCCATAAAGCATTGTCAGCTGAAGTGATGGTATGTGCTGATTAGAAGTCCTGTTAGAAGGTAAGTTTTTTTTAATCTTTGTGAAGTAAGATGCAAACCTGCTGGCTGGAAGTTCTTGAAATGCTGCTGGGCTTGTTAGAAAAAGATAAGTTTTTTAAAGATCTTTTTCATATAAGATGGGAACATACTAGTTGAACTTTAGTCTCTTTCCTCCAACTAGAACTTCTTTTACCTGATAACATGGATCATCTTCCATCAAGTTTTGCTTTACACTTATGTTACTGTTTTCATACCTTCTGTTTTTCCCCCGTCTCAAATAAAGGCTAAAAACTTATAGAAGAAACACAATATGGGATCAAAGGACTGTTGTCATATACCATTTAGTTTTTTTTTACTTGTAATTGGTACATCATAAACTTCAAAAACCAATAGTTACAGCATAGAATATGATTTTTCATCTTGACCGTCTGTAGAAGGCAGTAATATAGATTGAATCACTATATCCAGCTACATTTCATAATTCATACAATAAGGTCCTGCCTCAGCGTCCAATTAATTGGGATGTGGTGATGATCTGTTGGACTGTTCATCCAATAGCATGTTTGGATCTGAAAGGGTTTGAAACCATCCAAGATTTGTTTAAGCAAACATCAGATTCAGATTTCAAGTGGGATGTCAAGGTCTGTTGGTTATGAAATTTTGATTGTGAATCATAAGATGCAACATTTGTTTGGAGAATAACAGTTATGTACTCTGCTTAGCAATCAGATTGAATCTATTAAGTTTACAAGTAGTTCCTTCAGAACACCGTTATGCATTGCCCAATGTACCAGCATATGCTATTCAAGAATTACTGAATCTTGTTTTCCATCTAAGTACAAGATCTTAATTGTGAATTACTTCTTTTCTATTATAGAATTGTTGATGCTGATACTAAACTTTAGTTATTATCATGTTTCGTTCATTATTACATGGTGTGAAGAGTGTGGGAGTATAGCCAGTGCAAGGGTCAATGTGGCAAATAAAAGAAAATTAAAGTTTCTGTGCAAGGCAGCCCTTGAAAACAGCTATCTTCCCTAAAATGTTGGGAGTTTTTTTAATGGTCATAGTTGATTTTTGAGAGTAATATTGATGAGGACAATAATGACAATTTTCCATATTTGTTATTTGACTTTCTTTTATTTTAGTTTTGAATAAGAAAGATTTGACAAGTTTGACCAGATCTTAATTTAGTTTTAATTGTGAGAGATTTGAGTGATTTTCTATTTTGGTAGGATTTTAATTTTGAATTTTGAATTTTTGGGTCAAATTTGGTAGTAAAGTCAGTTGTGGCAATTTGAGTGATTTGAGAAATTTCAGAATCTGTAATTTTTTCTCTTTAAAGGACTGCTATAATCAGATTTTTGAGGAAAAGATTTGAATCGATGAAAAATTTTGTTAACTCATTGGTGTGAAGCCTCGGGTGTGAAACCCTAGACCGACGGGTGTGAAACCCTAGGCCGACTCCCTTGACTCCTATTCCACAAACAGTCGCCACTCTCCCTAGTTTCTTCTTCGTTTTCCCAAACAATCGCCCCCGCTCTTCTCCTCCTCTAGCAGCCACCGCAGTCACCTCCTCCCCTGCTCCTTTTCACTCGAGCAGCCACCCTTTCCTCCTCCACAAACCACCAGATCCACCTCAAACAAACGCCGTTGTCGTCTCGCCCGCGTCCACTCGTCGACCACGTTCTCTGGTCACCCACGTCGCCAGTTTACACGTTGACCCATCACCTTCGCCGTCGTTCAGATTCTCCGCCGCCGTCGTCGCTCAGTTCGCCGTCGTGTTGTCATCCAGTTCGACGTCGTCGCACCACCTCCAGAGGTCCCTCACGTCGAGCCTTTTCAGGCCAACGAAGGTTTCATTTTCTCTCTATTTTTTCTGTTAATCTCATTTTATTAGTTAATTGCATGAGTATTCCATCTCTAAACTTTTATCATATATTCACTGCTTAGATTATATTTATGAGTTGAGAGTATTTGAGCACGTGACTGTTAAAATTTGATATTGATTGTAGAACTTGTGCATGATAATGAATATTGCAATTAAATTGATTGAGATGGGAATTATTCATAATTATTGATGCAAACTTTGTTAAATCCATCTGTCACAAATTGATTGAGATGGGAATTATTCATAATTATTGATGCAAACTTTGTTAAATCCATCTGTCACATTAGTTATTTTGAATTTAATTACTGCCAAAGATTATGAAATTTGGTGAAACGATGTGTTATTTGAATTAAATCGCTGATCCTGATAGACCCCATGTCCCGTTTCACATCAAATATTTTTCTATGTGGAGATTTACGCATTTTATGTGATATTTAGTCATGTTGAACCAAATATCTAGATGCAACTCATGTTTCATGATGATGTAGGCAGACTGAGGCAGATTCCAGTATCATTTTTATGCAAGAACCATCAATTGTTGATGAATTTCGAATTCAACTTTCATTATGTCAAAATCACTTTCCTAACATTTACACACAACTATCTTCAGGTTCTTATTTTCATGTGTCATTCCTTATTTAAGTTCTCTTCTTCCTTTGTCCAAATGATGTTGTCACTTGGTCCTAATGCCCATATTCATGATTCACTAAGGTAGAATGTCTGAAAACATGATAGTACATAACTAAATATGTATGATCTTGGTATTCGTACATGCTGTGCATACAGACCTATAGCAAAGAGTTTTGACCCTTAAGTAACCACACTTTTCCTACTCCAGAAAAAACTGAATTATGAAGCAAAAATCTTAATTGTCACAATTAGAAGCATGGTGTAGCCTTTTCCCTATGAAGAAATATTCCTTCTTTTTTTTTGGGGTTGCATGATTGCAGTTAAGAAGCTTTATGGAAGAATAAACCAACCATTTATTTCTACGAACTTAAAGTCAACTTAAGTTGGTTCTGGATGGCCTAGGCAAATATGAGAAAGAGAGGGCCTGATAATAAAAACTTTAAAGCCAGTTAGCAGGTAGGTGAATGTGATGCATTTTAATCTTATGAATTAGGTCCAGAGATGATGGAAGATGGAAGTGGGGAAAAGATGAGAGCATAAATGAGAGAATGAAGGAGATAAGTGGACTTATAAGATGGTTAAGCCTGATTTTTTAGTTAAAGATATGTGTAGGGAACAGTTATCAAAAGCTGCTAGATCTTGTTGGATCTCTTTAGATTTTGTTGGATAGAAGAGTTGAAGAGTTATGCATTTTTGGAAGGGTAGGAGCCAATGTTATGTGTTATCAATAGTTATACTAATTCTCCCCGAGAGGTGGAGTAATAACTCCAAAATCTCTTCAGGTAGGATGATATTTGTATAAATGTCTTCGAAAACTACCAATACTTCACTTCAACTGTTAGATTATAATTATTGCAGTCCTTTTATGATAGGCAAGAAATAGTCTTAATTCTATGCTAACTTATTACCAAGCACAACCTTAGGAACTCATTATAATCAAAAACTATATATCTGTGTGTGTGTGTGTTTTTTCTAAAGATGTATTCACTATGTAGAATTTACAAGAATTGTCATTACCATTCTCGAAGAAAATATTAGGATCATGGTTCAGGGATCTTTTCTTGAATTTTGTTTGTCAAGAACGCCAGTAATTATCAGTCGATAAACCTACATATGGAGGTTCTCTATATGTTTACATGTGGGCCGAAACTGTGAAGCATCGACAAAGTGAAAACTTTGGTATGTGCAGATTAGAGACTGCCTACGTATCCTCTTGCCCAAGGAATCAAACCTTCACGTAGTTCACCCAATGGCCTCTAAATGTCCTCAATCCAATAGAAGAGTTCGCAACCCTCCTCCAATATCATCAACTTTGTGGCTGATAGCATCTCTAATGGTTTCAGTGTAATGAATCAAACACCTCCACCCGAAGTGAACCAATGGCCATATTCAAACTACATCTATCAGCTGCACTTAAATCAAAACCCAACTTATCATCTGTATCCAAAACCAATTGATCCCCAAACTGTGTCACTTCAGCTAGAATCCCAAACAATACAAAATGATCTGGAGTATGTGGAGTAGTCTCCACCCAATGTGAAGTAGCATCACTCTCCACCTGTTGTGATACAAGTTCTTGAAGATGCTCATGGTCCTGTTAAAATGTAAGTCTTTCTTTTTTTTTTCCTCAAAATCTTTTTCGAGTAAGATATGAACTTGTTGTAGTCATACAATTGCAAGCATCTTCAAAGCAATAATTTATCAGGAGTAGATGATACAGTTCTTTAGGCTGTTTCCTCCAAATAAAACGCCTTAACTGATAACTTGGATTAACTTTCACTGGTATCTATTCGATTATAGCATTATAAATTTCTCTAATTTCAAGTACAAAACGACTGCGATTAACATGCGACCCTCCACCTACACTAATTATTAGCTACACAATTTTTTTTACTTACTTTCCTCTTATGATGTAGGATGGTTTTTAAGCAGGAATTCAGCTCATGTGGGATTTTTGTTGGTCTGATATAAAAGTAAATATGAAGAACAGTCTTTGACTTATTAAAATAGGACATTTGGAAAAATATTTGGAAAGTATTACATTGAATTTTCTACTCAATGTCTCGATAATGTGTTTGGCCAGATATTTAAATTTGAGGATGAATTAACCACCTGAACTGACAACTTGATACTTTCACAGACACTGAATCAAATAGAAGAATAAGAGCAGTGAGGTCCACAAAGCTTGTATACATATATTGCAGGTTTACTATTTCATGTTTAATGAACTCTTCAGAGTGGAACTACTGCTGTACCAAGACTCTTCATCTAGTTACGCACCCTTAATGGTTATATAGTCTTTTCTTGCCTTTAATTTCCAGGAATAAGGGTGTGATTTACCCAATATATTCTATATATTGTGATTCACCCAATATATTCTATATAGTTAACTTCGTGGTTCCCTTCTTGCTGATACATTTCTGTTCCACTTAATGTTTAACTGCAAAGATAAAAAGAAATTTAGGAATTCATGTTATTTCACTGTACACATTTATTATGTGCTCTACTGGTTAGCTCGCCTCCTTTTACCTCAGACCTTCATGCAAGTTTAAATTAATCTGTTAAGTCTTATTTTATCACATAGTTTCTTCAGTCCTAGCTCGTTTCATGTGCTCCGACACAAACAGTTCAGGATTCTAAATAATGGGATTTGCTGAGGCTTCTCTGTATACTAATGTCTAAATAGATGTAATATGTACTAATGTATAAATAGGATGTAAAGCACACAAATGCATACATAAAAATTTAATAGAAATACTAATGTCCAAATACAGATATAATGTATAGTAATATATAAATAGTGGTATAACACATGTATACCTCAAAAATGCACACAATGAAATGGAAAAAAAGTTGCACACCTGCTTTTGGAATTGTCCCTGATTATTGTATGCAAATTTTCATGTCATGCTTTTAAACATCTGTTTTGGTTCCTAAGAAAGTGAAACAGTGAGGTGCAAGATAGCTGGTTGCGATGCGATAAAGATACGTAAGGTTGGTATAAAGAAGATGAGTAATGGGAGAAAGTGGTGGAGGATTGAATATGTTGCCAATTGCTTTTCCTTGTTTTTCTTTTCATAAACAATCTGTCCTTGTAGTGTGCATGCATGTATAGATTCTGTATATATAAAGTAAATACAACAATTGTGCTTCTTTTTTCCCATTTGTATTGGTTAGTGGTGCATATGTCAAGTTGATCTGAGTGTTTCCCCATACTTGCTCTAAGAGCAGTAGATTATGCATATATAAAGCAAGGGGTTTAGTCAATGTTCGAGAGGGACAATTAATTTTGCAATCAACTTCTGATGTTCTGATTTTATTAGATGTCTCCTATGCGTCTTGTGAAGACTATGAGCTATTTCGAGAATTGCTGAGATCCTGATTTTGATTAAGAACTTACTCATCTTCTTAGTAGTTTTATCCTCTTCGATGTTTTGCTTTAACTACTGAATCTTGATTATGGGTGTAAATTCACCATCTCTAATTGTAGAATTTGCTTGGCAGAAGGTTATCTAGCAGCCCGTTGCAATTGTTTCTCCGTTATAAGTTGACATGTAACTTTGTTGGTTTAGTTTAGGGATAAATACTATTTTCCATCCTAAAAGTTTCAATGAAAGTTTTCCTCTAAAATTCTTCTTGCTTGTTGCTTGTTTCATTTGAGTATAAATCCCTATTGCTGCGTAAGAAACTTATTTTCCCCCTTTCGTTTTTTCCCCTCTATTATATGGAGGATGGAATGGTCACTACAACATAGAGGCTCGGCACAACGCTAATGAAAATTATGTGAGTTAACTTTTTTTTTTCAGGTCTATAAAACTTATGTTTTTCCTTATTACATTTGTTTTATTTTTTGTATCTGTATTATGAGTTTATTAACATGATGACATTATACTATTTTCTTTTATTTTTTTTCAATTTTTGGCAAGGAATCGTAGCATCCGTTACATTCAAATTGGTTGCAGTGGTTGGTTTTGGCGATTTTTGTGCAAACTGGAGCAGACGGCCTTAGGATTGGGATCAATACATCATAATAGGAAATCAATTTCGGAAATAGTTTTATCAGATAGGATGGGAGGAATTTCCAAGGACAATCAAACGTCCTCCCGTACGTTAGACATTTGAAATAGCTCGACCAAAACTCAAGAATACAATGTAAGTCCTCCAAATGTTATTACTGACGCCAAGGACATTGGAAGTTTCTGTTTAATATCAATTTGGGTAGGTGGAGTATTAACCAAATTAATGGTTAATACCCCAACGAAACCGAGTTAATATACCATCTACCCCTTTTTAAGTTTCACGTACTGAAATGAAGACGTACTGAAAGGAAGAGAGCATTAGAGAGGCAACATGGGACAAAATCTCCTGGCGGTCGACCGCCTAGCTTTTGCTACTTAGCATCCAAAAATTATTTAGTTTACGCCCTTTTGCATTGTCTTCAGGTCCGATTCATCACTCGAACATAGTGTTATGCTAATGCAACTGTGGATTTCTCCATATAGGAAGAGAATCTACACCTAACAATAAAGTCTATCCAGGATCCACCAGCCTCAAGTTAACATGATTATGACTGAGCTTACTGATTTCATGGAAAGGTATATTTCTGTTAAGCCTGAATTGCTATATATTTATGAACCTAATGAGTGATTAGTAGAAAATAGTGCAAATGCATACATTTGTCTTGATAAATTGTTGTTTGCGTCTTATCAGCCTACAAATGGAAACACCCTGAAGATGGGGAATTCATTTGCATCCAAGATGTCAGCATATGGACTAGTGTACCTAAAGTTTCCTTTGAGGCGCATTCTGTCATTACACGGGTGCACCATGTTCCTTTTGTTCAGCGTAATATCATTACTAGTTCATATTTAGTAGGGTGGGTTATGAGTTTTCTTTTAAATATAATAAATTAGTTCTGCTAGATCTTTTATTTTTCAAAGGTTATGATTTTAATGGAATGTATAAGGCCAGAGCGGAACATATTTCTAGTTATGAATTGAATAAAGTTTCTATTTATGATTATCATGTTAGTAATCCAATTGAATTATCTGAAATTTGGCACAAAAGTCTTGGTCGTTGAATACAATTCTGTAAAAAGAATGATGAATTTAAACTTGATTCCTAAACACTCTATAGATTGGAATAAAAAATGTCAAGTATGTGTAACAACTAAACAAACAAAGAAACTCTTTCATTCTGTTGATAGAATTTCAGAAATACTTGATTCAATTCATACTAATATTTGTGAATTTAATGGTGTTTGGACCGAAGATATGAATAAATACTTAGTCACTTCTATACATGACTATAACAAATATTGTTATGTTATAGACGACTATAACACATATTGTTATGTTTACTTGCTTAAAACTAAAAATGAGGCTCAAGAAAAGTTTATAACTTTTAAAAATAATCTGAAACTTTAATTGGTAATAAACTTAAAAGGTTAAGATCTAATAGAGGAGGAGAATATACACCGAACTACTTTACTCTTCTATGTCAATCTTTTGGTATAGTGCATGATGAAACTACACCTTATTCTTAAAAGTGTAGTGGTAGTGTAGAACAAAAAAAAAGAACTTTAAAAAATACAATAAATATTTTACTTGATGAAAGGGGGGGGGGGGGGGGTGAATAGGGTAATTGCTAATCTAATTCGATTTCGATGCCAAATTAAAACTAATAATGAATTATCCTAGCGATGATGATATGTACAACAATATAAGCAAGGATATATAATGAAACAATAGGCGATATAAACGATGAGACAATATGTGATATAATAATAAGCACAAGATGAAAGAGTGATAGTGTGCAAAAGACAATCGCAAACAATCAACATGATCACGGAGTTGGTCAGCCCTCGACCTATGTCTCCGCTCCTCACCTCAAGGAGATCTCCACTAAAACTCAAAATAACTATACAACACGGTTTCCAAAGATCACCGAAAACTTTTACGATACACACATTGTCAATCACACAAGCCACACTCCTCTAAGTGTTGGACTACCTGTGTTACATTCCTTAAGTGTTTGGATTTACAACCTCTCCCTAGGCTTTACGACCAACCCACTCCTCTTGAAATTAACCCCGGTCTCTCCTAACTACTCCTCTAAGTGTTATTGTGTATCAACAATAAGTTTAAATAAATATTCTGTTCTCTAAACAAGTGAGAACGAAGTTGTAAGCTCACTCAATGAAACAACCTCACAACCCAAATATACAATATGTGAAATACTAATGCTCAAGTGGTTGTGTGTGTAAACAATTAGTAAAATGAAATCAAACTCAATTAAATCTAGCTTATCTATGATAATCAAAATATAGATTTGTTTTCGTCGAAAGTTGCTTTTATTGTAGATTCCATTGAAACTTAATTTGTTTACAGAGAATTACAACGAAAAATAAGCAAATTACAACTCGTAGATTCCATTGAAACTTAATTTGTTTACAGAGAATTACAACGAAAAATAAGCAAATTACAACTCTCTTGGAAAATAACACAAAAATCGTCTATCGATTCTTGTTTTTGTGGGACTTTGCATGTGCCGTGAGCGCTTTGACTCGTGGACCGCCGAATCATAGATCGTGAAGGGGGCTTTATGATTCTTCCTTCGTTTATCGAAGTGAGAATTTAAAACGAGGATCTTATCAAAGTAAGATGATCGTTCTTCTTAAGATTAAGTCAAAGCTCAAATCTCAAGGAATCACACCAAACTCAAGTCTGCTCTCTCTGCTCTGGTTTGCTCGAAAAAATATGCTCGATCCTCGTCAGAAATGACCCTAGGGGGGTATTTATAGCCTCTGGGGTAATAACTACACAAAACTCAACAA